AATTTTAGGGAACTTTACTTTGAATTTTGATTTTGATTTTTAGACCCCCCCCCCCCCCCTCAACTGTCAAACAACTTTACTTCAAAATTAAATAAAAAAGAAAAGAGAAACAATTCTACATATCATTTAAGGAAACTAGGCTTCCTGTTACAAACCTGAAGTATTTCCTGGGAGTTCAGGGCCATAATAATGTGATTGGTAGCCCAAAGCTGATGAAGTTGCTTCAAGTATACTTATTTAAAAGCACTTACATAAGTCTTAAACTTTAATATGTATTCCTATGCTGCAAAGAAAGGGCAGACGAAGAATTGAATCAGAAATGTCCTGTTAGTAAAAAAAACTGGAGCTGCTATTGATTAAGTATGAAGAAAATAATCTTGAAAGGACCTTACTAGGCTGAAAAAAGAGCAAAACAAAAATAACAAGTAATTTCCCGACTTATGTAACATTCACTCTATTTAAGAAATTAACAGTTCTAATATTCTAATCTAACACCCTCAAACAAGTAATTCTCCATCAAGTACCCTAGAGATGTTCCTATTGTCGTCACCCAGTCTCCTCAAGTTCTTCTGTTTCATAAAGTTCTTCAGACCCACAATTTCCATTTCTAATACAGTTATCAGACCTTTCACACTCTGCTGAGAAGAGACCTCGCTCCTCAAGCCATTTTTTAATCTCTTCTGCTCTTTCAGTATCTCCATTTGACTGCAAGTAATCAACACACGAAGGCCAACTGTGAATATTTGGCTTCTGTAGTGGGTCACTTGCGAAGATTGCTTTCTTCAATGTTTCAACTGCCTTCTCCGTCTGATGGTGTAAACAATATCCGAGCGCCAGATGATCCCACGTTCTATAGTTTGGCCTCTTCCCACTCTCCAAGAGTCTTTCCATAATGGATTCAGCCTTTCCCAATTGACCCTTTCTGCAGTAGATGGCTATGAGCAAATTTGGAATTCTAATGTCAAAATATACCTCTTTCGCTTCGCACTCGGCAAATATCTTCTCTGCACCATCAATATCATCTAACTTTTCCAGTCCACTTATCATGGAAAGATAACTTGAACTGCAGACCTTACGTCTATTCTTTAATTTGTTCCAAATACGATAGACATCATTTTTCTTTCCCATACTAGCATAGAGGGAAAGAATGACTTCATTAGCAAGCCTTGCATTTTTCTCCTTACTTAGATGCTCGCATTTATTCAATACCTCTGAAGCCTTTTCTACATCACCAGCTCTCATGTAGCCCTTGGCAGCGACTGCATAACCATTCCATTCAATCAGCAGCGGATCTTCTTCCATCTTCATCAAAAGTTTCTCCATCTCCTTAATATCGGGAACAGATGCATACGCATTTAAGCGGATAGTATAGGAGAATGCATTACCAGCAATTCCCTTATCTTCCATCTCTTGCACTACCGAGTGTAGTTTCTTAAGGTCTCCCATTTTAGCATAAAGGTTCATCATAACATTGTAAGTCACTAAGTCAGCATTCCCCAGATCCCTCATCTTTTGCATTGTATCTTCCGCTTTTATCAATGATTTTGCATCAGCATAGCAGTTCAAAAGAGCGATATACACACAAGAAGCTCTAAGAGTATCTGGAATGCTGGCGAAATACTCCTCTGCTGCTTCCAATCCACGAGCTTTTGATATCAAATCCAGTCGGACTGCAACATCTCTAGATGATAAATGAGGATGCTCTGAGTTGTTAATCCATTCATAAATCTGAGATAAAAAATAAGAAGCAGAAAACTGAATTTGGACACAACACATAAACAAGGGGGAAAGGGTGGAAAAAGGGTTCTGTCGGAACTAAGACCAACTTGGCACTTAAATTTAAGTGAGTGCAGTCATGGCTGAGTCAGCTCTGGTTGTTCAATCCTAATTTGCATGCTTGAATTTAGTTTTCCTTCTTAAAATATTATTTTATGTTACATAGTTTGCTTCAGATTATTGAGAATATTTTTACGATAGCGTCAATGAACAAAAAATCAAATCTAAACCTTTCATTGGCAAAGCGTTCTTGACACAGTGATCATGAAGTAAACTCTATGATATAATGAAAGAAAAGCACTCAGTAGATATAAAACATATCCAGCTTTTTAAAAACTAATGAAAGTTTAGCAAGCTTTGGCAAACTTCAGACCTCTCCCTCCACATATCCAGCTTTTTAAAAACTAATGAAAGTTTAGCAAGCTTTGGCAAACTTCAGACCTCTCCCTCCACATATCCAGCTTTTTAAAAACTAATGAAAGTTTAGCAAGCTTTGGCAAACTTCAGACCTCTCCCTCCTCTTAAGACACTCTGGTCTAAATTTTGAAATGCAGAGTCTAACTTCAAACTCCAAGGTGTGAAGCTTACAACAACAACAACAACATACCGAGTATATTTCCATAAGTGGGGTCTGGGGAGGGTAGTATGTACTCAGTCATTACCCCTACCTTGTGAAGGTAGGGAGGGTGTTTCCGAAAGACCCTCGTCAGTCGTCTCACTCCAAGGTATGAAGCTTGAACTACGAAAATCAAACTTCAGACAGTTTTGAATTTCCAGATCCTAACTTCTGCGTGAAGGTCGAGTTTGAAGTTTTTCTGGCTATATTTTAAACAATTTGTAAGTTTTGGCTATTTGTGCACTTGGTCCTCTTCTAGAATTAAATGGGTAGGGTTCAAAAAATGGCAAAAATAGGACACCATAAGAGGTGGTCTTTAACTTTTGGCATTTGGGGCAGGTTATCTTACCAATGGGCAAACCTCGATCAAAAGTCAAAATTTTTGCCAATTGGTCCGTTTAACCTACAGGTCACAAGTTCACGACTAGCTCCTTTGAAGCTCATTTGTGTCATTGACCGGGTTCAGGGACATCCTACCACATCCCTGTCGACCCGTTTCAAAATTAAACTAAATAAACAAAGCAATTTAGAGGGAGAGAGAAATACTTGGAGAGCATGGTTGAAGCGCCTGACTGCCCGGAGATACTTGATAGCTTTCTTGAGGTCCTCATAATCCACGGTCTTCCCTTCATTAACCCACTGGTTAATTATTGGTATAACGGACACAGTAGAGGGTGTATAACGTACTAGCTTTCTGAGATTGTCTTCCTCTGAAGAAGATGCTAGGGTTTGAGAATTGGTAGAAAATCTGAATACCATAAGTGAAGTAGGGTTACATTTATACCATGATTTCAGACCAGCAACACTCTGCTGGAGAAGCTTCACCATATTTAGAGATTGTAAATTTCTCACTGATCACAACTTTTCCCGAGCGAGCAAAAGAAAGGAAAATGGAATTTTGCAAACTGTACACAGTGTTTTAAAAGGCCCAGGCGTAAACGAGGGTTTTATATGTACTGTATCGCCCGAGGCGCCAGCGTAAGCCCCCTGACATTCAAATTTTAAAATTTAATAAATTAATAAGATAAATATATAACTAGTACAAAATACATTACAAAATTATAGAAAATTTAAGAGAATTATAAAATTATTAGAAAAAATATATATATATATAAACATGCTAAACTGTACTTGAACACTATAAAAGATTTATTTTCGTACTTGAAAAAGTGAAAAATGCGAAGATGCATGGCCGCGTGCCCACTACAGCCAGTCGCTCACACCTCTTCACCGGTGCATCAGTACTCCTCCTCTGAATGCATTGGGGAGGACATGACCCTTGATAGGGAATTATGGAGGTCGAGCATTAAGGTTGTAGGTTAGGGGAG